AGAAGATGGTTAAAGGTTTCGTCGGGATTTAACCTGTATTTCGGTCGAATGAAACGACCGAATGGCGATAAGCGAAGACGGATACACGCAACGGATGCGACACCATTTTAGAAATGCAGCGACCGCAAGACGCAGCCAGAATGGATATGCATTCCCCGGTTAATAGAGGCGGTGGTGATCAGCGTTCGTAAATTCAGCCGGGCCATCCTCGTCCCCCATAAATAACTCGACCTGACCCCGCTCCGCTGCCTACCACCAGTCGCGCGCTTGTCCCGCCATTTTATCAATGTCCCCTGCCTCATCCTATCTCGTTGGATCAAACTCGAATCGCCCTTAACCACGACAGAATCTTCATGATCGATCCGACGGAAAAAAAAACCGAGCCGACCTCGAGCTCCCCAACGCCTTAAATCTCCTGGCAAAATCCGAAATGGAATTTCATCGTCATTTTGGATCGAGGAGGGAATGGAAAAATGCAGTTTCTCCAGGAATAATTCGAATAATCGAACGAATATTTCGTAATTGAAGGGGGAGGAGATTCGTTGGTCCGTTGCCAAACAGGGAAGGGAAAGAAAGTTGGAGAGTTTTCTTTTTTTTCTCTCTCTCTCTCTCTCTCTCCTTTTCGAAATGATCATTTCTCTCTCCAAGATTCTTGGAAGGGAAGGGATTATTCGAAGGAGGAAGAGAATGAAACGCTGGAGCTTGAAGAAAGTGAAAGAAGCATCTCGATCGAGATCGATCGCCAATTTCGTCCACCGCCATTTTCTCCATTCTTCTTTCGCTGACTTCAAGGACACATAACTTTTTCCTTCGAACGATTAGTTCCTCGCGTGATCTATGCACCTCTCTCTCTCTCTCTCAAGAGAGAAATATTCTCCAAGAAGGCTCCGCTCGTGCGAGTCGGAAAATCCGACGCTATTGTTGGATCCCTTTAACGCCGTTTCCCCGGCTATAATTAGTCCCCGGGTCCGGGATGACGTCTCGCCTCGAGACGACTTCGATTCCCGAAGAGATTCGATCGAGGCCGGCTACGACCCGGAAGAAATCAATACCGCCGACACGACGACACCGCCCCCGTCTCGCGCCCCGCGCAACCGCCTCCAAAGATCTCCGACTCGAGATCCTTTCCCTCCTCGATCTCTGCCTCCTCCGTGCGTCACAACAGCCAATGGATCCACGTCGTTTTCGAGTCGTTTGTAAGAGTGGCGAGATAACACTGGGTTCAACTTTCGAGACAAGGAGGAAATTCTTCTTTCGAAAGATTTCTTCTTCTTACCGTGAGAGACTCGCTTTATTACCTGGAAGAGAGCGATTCATCGAGGGTGAACGTGGAGTCTCTCCAACGCGTTAAAAAATAAATTTGTCTTCGCGCGTGTATATGTCTCGTTATATCCAAGCTTTCTCTTTCGAGTTTTCGCTGTTTATCTTGGAACTTTCGTTCTTTTCAGAGCGAGGAGAACGCGTGCTCGATGAATGATTTTCCATGGGAATGGATGATAGTCGGGGCTAACAATCCGACATCATTGGATTGGATCGGTCGATTTCGAGGATCCGGATGGATTCTTGTTATCTTGATATTGTTAAGGGTGGATGGACGTTTTCTTCGGGGGAAAAGACTTCTCTTTTCGTGGAAAAATGATCCAATCTTGCGGAGAGATCCGATGGAAATGTATCGGTTGCCAATTATGGAGACACGAGCAGAAGAGAGATAACTCCGCCCGGAGAACAAGATCCTTAAAAGTATTAACCGAGCCTGGTTAAAGAATTGGAGAAATTCGAGAAACACGAGCGATTTCTTGTCAAAAATATGCTTAAATGTTCACCCAACCGTGTTTCGAGTAACAAATCAATCTTTTCAACCTCTCCTCCTCTCCTCCTAGTTCAAACCGAAAGTTCTCGTGTAAACGAGATCAAAAAAAAGATCTTGGTATACATCTTGCTCAAGATCGGTCAAATATTGATTAAGAGAAATTTTCGTTAGTTATCGAAATTTTAAATAGGAAAGGATGCGTCGCGGAAATTCGCGTTTCGAATTCTTGTGAGTAAGAAGATCGGCGCGTTTGATTCGCTTCGCGAGGGGACGTTTCCTCTTCTCGACGAAGGGGAAGGGACGAGGGATCGGCGTTGAAAAGGCGGCTAAACGCCGGCAGGAAGTCGAGATCGTAGACAGACGCGTGGAAAGAGGGAAAGGAAAGGACAGAGCAGGAAGTGGAGCGGCGCTGCCCCGGGCCGTATGCACGATTTTCTTCGCCAGTCGACAAAGGCGACCGGAATCGCGCTGCTTTCTGGGTTAAGTATATCCAGCCAGGGGAGAAGACTGCTACATTTACCCGGAAGTGGAAGACTATCGGGTGAAAAGTGTCGTCGAAAACGAATTCCAACCAAGTTGGATTGAAAATTGATCCAAGCTAAGAGGACACGTGACGATTATTTCGAATCGTTCCTCTTCGAAATTTCTCTCTTTTTCTCTTATGATTTTTGACCAAATTTTTTTTTCCAACCACGTGACAATGAAGGAATTGAATTTGGATCGCGCACTTGATCACGATTTTTGAGATACATAAATTCAATCGCCATTCCTTTTGTCCTGTCTTGGAATTTTTGGAATATCTTGAATATTAATCTATTGAGAAATCCAAAAATAGTGAAAGTCTCGTCGAGTGACTTGGCTTCGAAGGAAATAATACGAATTATCGAATTTTTTTTCCAACGGACGAGTAGATGAAGGAATGAAGAATTGAATTTGGATCGAGCACTTGATCACGATTTTTGAGATACATAAATTCAATCGCCATTCCTTTTGTCCTGTCTTGGAATTTTTGGAATATCTTGAATATTAATCTATTGAGAAATCCAAAAATAGTGAAAGTCTCGTCGAGTGAACTTGGCTTCGAAGGAAATAATACGAATTATCGAATTAGAGATCGATTATTGGATCGGTTCGGGGAAAAATAATAGGATCGAGGGGATCGTTGAAATGCATTTCCTCTTGATCTTGTAAAATGTGCATCCTCCCTGTGCACGGGTAACCCGGGCGGACCTTGCAATTAACACAATTTCCGTGGAAATTCAGGCTCGAGTGGCCATCGAGACAGGGTTCCGATTTGCAGAACCGACCTATTTATCCACGTTTTCGGCAACGTTCGATTTAGGGATTCCAACGTGGAAACACTCCTGTTAACTCCTGTTCTTGGATAAAGTGTCGATTCTTAGCTTCGACAGAATTCGCAAATTAAAAATATATGCTCGAGTTACATATAGGGCATATATCGTAGATACGTCTCTTGCGATCAATCTAACGGTGGTAATAGAAACCGTCGATGCAATTATCGGTCAAATTTATCAATCAAACGCTGTACAATCAATCATGAAAGATCTTCGTATGCATCTTGCTCAAGATCGATCAAACGTTCATTAAGAGACATTTTCGTTAGTTATCGCCGATTAAAATCACGATCGAACACAACGAGTTATCCTAATGAATCGTCCTAATTCGTCGTGCGGGAACGATTGATTCGATTTCAGAATTTTCGAAAGTCTTCGTAAAGTAAAACAGAAAAAGACTAATTAAAAAGACTAATCAAGTATAAATTGAAATCACAAATTTAACATTACTTCGATGATTCTATAAAATTCTAATAAAAAAAAAAAAAAGTAACTAAAAACCTTCATTGACTATTCTAATCCTATTGATCCTATAATTTCAAAAAATTCAACTTACGAAACAAAACTGGATAAACTGTTATACCATATAAAATTAATGACACGAATAATATTCTACAATTCGATCTACCATCTCACAAACACAATAACGGAGGATACATACATACTATCCAAACTCGCGCTACGACACACAAGAGTTATTCTCTCCGTTTATATTCACCAGTTTGCGCGCCACACACCGAGTGGGTGGCCACGGTGCGCGCGCGCACACACACGCACACGAGTGGTGTGCTAAAATTGGACGCCAACCGAGAGGGGAGGTTTATTCAAATTACAGCGCTTCGACCGTTGGACTCGTAACAGGCGACGTTGGTTCGCGGATAAACGCGCGACATTTCAACCATTGATTCCGCGAAATTAAACGGAGCCTCCTCCCGCGAGGCGAGGGTTTAACGAAGCGGACGCCTCAATGGAGGAGAACCGCTCCTCTCGAAATCGCTCGGGGGATATTTCCAATCCGCTTCTTTTCTCCCTCCCCCCTTCTCTTCTCCTTTCCGTGCACGCGTCCACGGGTTATTTCGAAAGAGTTATGAACTCGACACTTGGAGCAACCGAGCGCTCTGTGTCGTAAAAGGGGGCCGGCCGTTTTAATCGAGGTGTTGTCGCGCCGCGAAAATCGGTTTATTGCCGGTGATTTATCAACACCGATATCTCAAAATATTTACCAACGCGTGCAGCGGTCGATCCACGAGAGTGGTTAAGTTAAGGAGTTGAACTTGTACTTTGCGCTTGTATATTTATATTTCAGAAGATTGCCAATCGAGCAAAGTGTGTAAATTATTAACTCTTAACTTTCGTACCATTACGATTAAACCATTTTTTAATCCTTTCTATGGTTACCAACGTGAAAAAAAATAAATATTATGACGAGAATTTAGAGCTGAGTACATACTGAAGGCATGTTTGATTTTGAAGAGTTAAAAGACATTATGGAAGACGATGTTGGTTATGATTCTGGCACTTCCATTATACTGCCAGAAGGAGACGAAGAATTATTGAAAGTGAAAGCGAAGATTCGTTGCAAGACTTAGATGAATGGCATGATGGAAGAATTAGACATTCCAGGTAGAATACCTTTTAGCGTATTGTCACAGATCATTGGTTCCTACCAGCCGACACAATATTTTAAATTGTGAAAGACTTCCTTTATCTCAGGCGTTCCGCTCCAAAAATGTGCCGGAGTGTGCTGGTAGGCAGTACTTAATATTGTATGTATGATACGATGAAATATAGGATGGCGATTGTACGAGTGCAAATGTTAAAAATGTCCATCTTACCGTGGTCTTCTCTAAACAACGAAGTAGATGATGATGCTGCAGCTCGAAGATATCCTCCTCCTTGTAATTGTCGTCCAGCTGAAGGCCGCTCTCCTGGGCGGCCAAACGTGCCTCGGCCGCCTTCTTTTTGCTCACGAAGGCCGCCCCGCTCGACGCTTTCGCGATCCTGATCCGTGCCAATCTTGCTTTCTGGAAAATAAAGAAAGGGCAAACGTTAGAAAACGTTGTATCATCCCGGAACCAAGCGTTCGTCCTTCGACAAATTTTCGTCCCTCCGATCCATTCGTAAAAACTTGGGGCGGAGATCGGCGAAGGGAAATATTTTTAGGTTGCCAAAATAAAACCGACAAACAACGCGTAACGGTCATCTTCACGGTCAACCTAGTTTCCCTCCGAGTTTTGGAAAGGGACCAAAATCGGGGAGAGAAAGGGCCGAGGAGAGTTCGAAAGACGGGAAAACGCGCGTCTTTCCAGGTCATCCAAATGAAATTGTCTCGCGCGAGGAACGATTAGAAACGCATCAGCTTCGAGCAACGAATTAGACGAATTCGGTAGAAGAGGTGATTAGACCAACACAACGAGCATGCATTTCTGCTTTTTCTTTCTTTCTTTTCTCTCGCGAGACGTCTCTCCTGTTTCCCGCCGACGGTCAATTAAGCTTTTAGCGAGGATTTTCCAGGAGGAAATTCACCGTGTGCACCGCCATTCAAATGCCGCAAATGCCGAGACGGCGATCCGAGGCTTGAAACGAGGCGTCCACGCCCATTTCCGCAACGATTATGGACCCGGCCGTTCGGCATTTTTCGCTTCAGACACCGCCTTGTTCAAACAGCCGTTTCGCTTCGCGAGAAATTCTCCACGAAATGAACCGATAAAAATCGAGCGAGGGGATCCTTTTACTTTCTAATCTATCGAATTTACACCTATCTCGGCTATAAATATGATGAATAATTCGACGAGATCGAATGTCGATGATCGAGGAACGCCAATGGAACACGGTCGATCTCGATGAAACGAGAATTTCTAAGAAATCTTTTCCACGAATCCTTTATGGAGAATATTGGGCGGGACCGATGATTTTTCCTCCACCTTTTTCCTTTCGATATCGTTGAAAACGTTGAAAGTTTCAAGACGGCCCGATGGTTTTCGCGCGTGGCAAAATAACCGTTCGTTGCGTTACTCGGATAAATTTATTTTCATCGCGATTTTTATCGCGCAAACATTTTTCCAGCGAACTTTTTTTTTCTTTTTTTTTTTTTGTCGCGCGCGCGTTCAACATGATTCACCGGGCGAACGTTATTACCATTTATCTCGAGCAGCCAGCCACTATCCACGTCCAACCATCAGTATCAATCGCAATGCACTCAGCTTTCGTTCTCTCGCTCGCCAAGTGGAACAAAGAAGCGCGTTGCACGACATCTCGGTGAATCATTAACGAATCATCAAGAGGTTACCTCTCTCGCAACGACGATGTCTTTTATCCACCTCGTAAAACGAAAAAACGAGCCATCATAACGACGAAGGCGAAGAAATTATTATTATTTTCTCCTCTTCCTCGCATCGCTCGATAAATTCAGATAGTTACGGCTCCAAGTCTAATAAAAATTAGGTATTTTTTCTTTCTTTCTTTCTTTTTTTTCTTCCCCCTCATTTGCTCGGATAAAACTTTATCCGTAAGGATAAATTGCATCACGCCCTTATGCTAATACAGAAAGTTTCGATTCCCGTTCTTATCGAGTTTCGTGGATCTCGCGAAAATTCTTCTACAAAATGTCCTTAACGGCACAATAATGCACGATCGTTGAATTATCGAAGCGGCTAAACTGTTACGAAACTGCACGTGATAACTGGAGATCCATTACGCGAGCTCGCGATTATGACTCCGCGATAAATCCTTCAACCGGCGTTTCGTGCCCGTTGAATTATCTTTAATTCCGTAATAGTTTCGTCGATAGTTCCAGCTCGCCTGGATAATAAAATCAGTTATCGTGCCACATTGTATCAATCACTCGTGAGTATTTTTCATTTAATATCGGTCCAACTGCGAATCGAACTGCGATCGCTTCGTCTTATATCTCCTCTCGATATTGTAATTCGTCTGTCAACTATAAAAAGATGTTTGAAACGACGTCTGTTTCAACGAACTTCCATTTTCAATTTTCTTTATTTCTTCATTTACTCGTGAAACAAACAACTGTGATCGTGGTCACAGTAATTTCACGAATTTCGACGCTAAATTTCGACAAAATCGATTAAATTACGTATGATCCTCGATTTCCATGTTTATATAAAATTGCAACATCGAATCAATCATCGATCATCCCCTCCAAATTTCTTGCAATCTTCAAAATCCTTTCGAAATTCCGGATTCTTCTCTACGTTCTCAAACGTTTCAACAGCGAACCAAACACGTTGCAACAAATCCAACCGTGCGACGATATATTTTCCGAGACAACGTTGCCCTGCTCGAAAAACCATCTCTCCCTCCTTTCGAGGACAACTTCCTGACGTTTCGCAGCTGCCCGACCGCGCAAACATCCGGCAACACCGAGGATGTCCACGTGCAGACCGATCGGATCCCTCTCGAACAGCAACTCGATTTCTCTCTCTCTCTCTCTCTCTGATCCACCGAGAAAATATACCATTGGATGGATATAAATATGGAGCGCGGCTTGCTTGGGCCAGCCAATCTGTACGGTTGTACTCTATAATTAGAGGAGCGTCGCCGATGATGCGCCGCTTTCAATTCACTGCATGGCTCGGCCAATGTTTGGCAGAATTTCTGGCCGCGTAAATGTTTCGCTTCTTTGATGCATTGAATGAGAGAGGGGAAGAGGAGGATCGAATTCCGATACGGTTCCTCGAATTTTAACTTTCGAATCTCTTCTCTGGGATTGGAATACTTGGACGAAGGTATTTCTCTCCTGGAGTGTGTATTTGGAGTGGAATATTGAACACGTTCTGTTCGCAGTTTTCGCGCGTTTCGAGTGAACAAATTCGCGTGGAACAAGTAAGAATGGGAGTAAGAGGAATAAATTGTTCGTTCAAAAAAAATTTGACTGCAGAATTCGTGACAGAGAAACTGTGTGTGGAGAGAATTCGGTGATAACAACAATGGGTGGAGAATTGGTCGAGTTGTTATCGTGGCGATTGCCAGATTTTAACAAAGTAGGTGGATGAAAAAGTAAAAGAAGAGTGAAAATATAAAAGGATGATCGAATATATATAATAATCGAAAGCAGCGGAATTTGACTATATTCTGCGAAACCAGGGATAGATTCGTAAATTCGAATTCGTTGAAAAAGATATTGTTGGTTGGTTAGTGCAGTGGTGAACGATAAATAAGAAATATACTGATTTAGCTGAACGGATATATATTTTGCTTATACGTGAGTGCACGTGTCAGAACAGCAACTGAACAACTGACGATCGCGTATCGTAGACAAACAAAAGGATGCCAAATACAGAATAGTGACACTGTTAGCAACGTTTAATGATAAAATTATAGATAAAATTTCAGTGAACTTTTATACCCTTTTATACCGAGCGACTTTGCCGCGTTTACAATTCGAATTGCTTTGAAAAAAAGAAAAAAATTGATGATAGAAACAAAATATCGAGCGACTATAATCAAAAGGGTTTATATCAATATCTTCTTTTTCAACGAATTCGAATATCACGAATCTATCCCTGGCTTCGTAGAATAGTCAAATATAGTCAAAGAATTGTTATAGAATTCGGTGAGGAAATATTAACGATCGAAACTGATAATGGAGACCGGAAACGAGCATCGGAAGATCGATCTCGAGTTTCCGATCCGGCGGAAGCTGAGATTTAACGGCTGACCGAGATCCCTCGATGATTGGGGGGATTGAAAAATTAATAGATCGTGCGTATTACTCGGGAGAAGTATCCTCGAGGAGATTTCGATCCGGAAAGAAAGATGGATCGAGTACAGTTCGAAAGGAAAAAAGCGAGATTTATTGTTATGCGAGACGATTATGCTTGGTTGGATGACGTTAAGTTGGAAAGATGCGATGGCAGGATCGGGCGTGGAGTGGACCATCCCCTGCCTGTCCAACGAAATTATTAATCGACGGCGGCCGCTAATTAATTCGCTTATGAACAGCACTTTTTTCGCCGGGCGACAGCTACCTGTTGTCTCGCATCGAATTAATTAACTATCGACATCGTTGCGATCACCCGACCTTCCGCCCCGTGTAATATTAATTACCATGACAGAGAGAGAGAGAGAGAGAGAGGGAACCCTCTGTTCCCAAACATAATCCTCTAACAGGAATCATCCGTGCATCGACCATGATGGAAGATTAAATTTCAACCGGAAATTACCGCATCCCTTCTTATCTATTCAACTCATTTTGGAAAATCAATTCGACGGATTGAAATTTCATTCGTGCCATGTACAGAGGAGGCTGGCCAGATCAAGTTCAACGTGCGAATTTGAATGAATAGATCGAGATTTACGAATAGTAAAAAAAAAAGAAAAATTGGCGGCCAAAGTTAACGCAGCGCGATCGAAGAACAAGCGGATCCAACGATCCTAAAAGCAACTTTTGAAGCTTGTTTGTTGACAGGGGAGAGGAAGATCATTTTTCAAAGATTCGAATACAAGATTTATGTTCGCTCCCTGTCGCGTTCCTGTCGACTCCTCGTCCATTGTGCGTACTTTCGACGACACGTGGCGGCCAAAATACGCGCCCTTCGCGTCCACATTTATCCATCTCGATCCTTGGCGAAAAGGAAGGCATCGATGCGGAAAGGACACGGGGGTTGCGAGTATCGCGTGGCTCTGGACGATTAATTGGAGGGAAGGCGAGGGAGGGGAAGACGGCCGATAAGAAAAGAGAATGCACGAGAGATTCCAACTCCGCTATCGCGGTTTTCCGTCTCGTTCGACCCTCGCACGGGTCTGTCTGTCTGTCTGCCCGCTCGCGAGAAGACGACGGTAAGTTAATTAAGCGAACGCCGACGAGTAACACGCGGGTCACGGACGGGTGAAAGGGGCGCGGCATTTCGTTTCAAGAAAGGGCCATCACACCACCTCGAATAAAGTACGCAAGACCTACTTTCTCCACCTCGAGCATTGAAAATTAAAATAGTAAAGTGCCGCTGCGAAAAAGAAAAGAAAAGGAAGAAACGGGGGGGGAAGTCGCGTTTCCATGCGCCTTCTTCTCCTCTCCCTGTCCCTCTTTCTCGCTTATAATGTTAATAGTCGGGGGAGAAGGAAGGAA